AACATCATAAAAATATTGAGGTTGTCAACCCATGAACACAGTATCTCCCTCCATTGATTTAGGTCTAATTTAATTTCTCTCAGCTGTGTTTTATAGTTTTTAGTGTACAGAGTTTACACATATTTTGTAAGATGTATCCCTAATTGTTTCATATTTTTGATATTATAAATGGCATTTTTTAATTTCAATTTCTGCTACCATATAAAATTGATAATAATTTATTTTGTATATTTATCTTATATTCTGCAACCTTGCTAAACCAATTTTCTAGTAGCTTTTCATAAATCCCATAGGCTTTCTATGTAGGCCATCATGTCATCTCAAAATAAACACAAGTTTATTTATTTTGCAATCTGGGTGCTTTTTACTACTTGTTTTATTGTACTGGCTAGAACCTCCAGTGCAATGTTATATAAAAGTGGTGAAAGCAATTTTTCTTATTCCTAATCTTAGAGGAAAATATTAATTAAGTCTTTCACCATTAAGTGTGATATTAGATGTAGAATTTTTGTAGATTCCTCTTTTCAGAGATAGAGTCCCTTTCTCTTCCTAGTTTGCTGAGAGTTTATATGAATGGATATTGAATTTTTTCAAATGCTTTTTCTACTTATATGGAAATGATCATATGGTATATTTTCATCTGTTAATAGTAATATAATGATTTACATTGATTGATTTTCAAATGTTTGACCAACCATGCATTCCTAGGATAAACCACAGTTGGTTGTGAAATATTAGCCTTTTGTACATATTATTGGTTTTGACTTACTGAAAAAAAATTAGTGTCTGCATCTATATTCATGAAAAATATTGATGTGTAGTTAGTTTCTTGTCTTTGTCATTACAAAACTCTGGTTTTGGCATCAGAGTAATTCTAGTCTCAAAAGTTATTTAGGAAGTGTTCCCTCCTGTTCTGTTTTACAGAACATTTTGTATGAAATGATTAACATTTCATCCTTAAATGTTTGATAGAGTTTATCAGTAAAGTTATTTGAAGATTGGAGTTTTATAAGAAGGTTGTTAACTGTAAATTAAATTTCTTTCTTTCTTTTTTTTTTTAAGACAGAGTCTCACTCTGTTTCCCAGGCTATAGCACAGTGGTGTCAGCCTAGCTCACAGCAACCTCAAACTCCTGGGCTCAAGAAATCCTCCTGCCTCAGCCTCCTGAGTAGCTGGGACTACATGTGCCCATGACTATGCCTGGCTAATTTTTCTATTTTTAGTAGAGATGGGGTCTTGCCCTTGCTCTGGCTAGTCTCAAACTCCTGAGCTCAATAAATCCTCTTACCTTGGCCTCTCAGAGTGCTGGGATTATAGGCATGAGCCAGCACACCCAGCCTAAATTAAATTTCTGTATTAGATATGAAGGTCTGACAATTAAGTTCATGAACTCCTCCTAGGAAATGTGCTATATATCTCATTGCTGAA